ATTTGTACTTTAGCAACAACTGCTCGAGCGAATTCGCACAGAACTCCATTCGTTATTATAATTCGCAGTCCGTATCCTTGTCCCAGTTTTCATCACCAATTACCACGGTTGACTGCATTTCTCCATATGCACACTAGTTCTACGTTGCTTTGCGGACAGCAGGGCGAGAAAGAAAGAACCATGATTTAGTTTTGAACATGTTCACACGCATACATGCTGTGTCGCATAGAGCTGCAAAATTTTATACGAGCAAGAGAGCGCTGGTAATCAGTTCCATAAGCTGCTAACAACGCAAGGTCGTCTGCAAACACGAAAGTTCCCGTTTCCTCATCTACTGTGTACTTCGAGGTACAACGAGAACAGAAGATGGGATGGGACAGGTCGCAGCTTTGGCGGAGCCCAATGCCATCGCTGAAGGTCTCGACTTGACTCCACATACTCTAACGCAGCACTTAGTATCAATATACAGCGATAGCATGACTAGTTGTAACTAACCATTGATTCCATCTTATGTTTGAGTTCGCACCGGCAGACTGTCGCTCACGATCGCAACACCGACATTCTCCATCACAGGTCAGCAAAGCATGACTAAACGATTCCGAAGATTTCTCGGCAGCTTCGTGTTGCTGAAGGTGAGAACTGGTCAGAGGTGGTTCGGCCTGACTGAAACGACGCTGCACTTCTTGTACCTCATAGTCAGTTATTCCGAAGCAACTACTTTTTAACACCGTTCCGAAGAACTTTAGCCACAAGTTCAATTAACTACAGCACTCACTATGATGCCTATTCTGGAACAAAAAGAGTATATCTGCTGTTCTCCAGTGTACTGGTGCCAGCATTCGTAATGACTGCAGTTTGACAGATAAATGTTAGCGATAACATACTTGATTCGTATATGGCATTAAGCATCGTAATGCTGATTTCATTGATTCCCGAGCCGTTCTCATTTTTCAAGCTTTCTGCAATTTCTGTGACTTCGTCTAATAAAAACCATATCTTATTTTTTTTGGGCGAATCTTCCTGCGGGCGTTCAAAGTTAAACAGTTCTTCAAAGCACTGTAGCCATCGCTGATGTATGTCCTCCTTATTTTTTAAGACGGAGTCCAGATTTGTCGTTCAGGACTCCTAGACTGCCCTGTATTTCACCTTTGAAGCGGTGATGGGTCAGGTAGGACACATAGTGTGCCATCTGGAAATGCCACTGCAGCATATCAGAAAATTTTTCCCAGCAGACGGCTTTTCCTTTGGTCTCTGCCTTAGTTTCTCGTTGTGTGCTTGATCGTACTGCATTCGGGCTGAAAAGCTGTCAGATTCAAAGGGGCCTGCTAAGCATGATGAACGATGATCAGCTTTACCACGTGTAATGACCTGTGATATAAATTTGAGAAGCCATTCGTCCTGCGTTGTGAGCCGTAAACTGGTTGACGTTATTCGTCGAAAATCGTTTGCCATAGATGTCAACAATAATAACAATAATAATCTTCATCATAATAACAGCTGTAAGTTTTCGTACGGTTTATGTCTAAAAAGTCATCTCAACTAAAGGACCTTCGAAGACCAATCTACTTTGTGTTCGGTAGCCATGAAGCTGAAATAACTAATTAACTGAGACTAACCGACTGAGAATCAGAAAGAACTTCATTAGACATAAATTTGACTAATAAGGTATAATACGACTGAAACATCGAAAACAATTACGGTTGCTATGTATATAGTGTTGCTATATATACAGTGTTTTACAGTTAATTGTCCCTGAATGCTCTTGGCCGAGACAGGAAGGAAACGGCCAACAATTGCAGATGCAGCACCACGAAATTCGACGCTTTGCAGATCAACTGTTATTAGAAGTAACTTGCGGAGATCAAGTCGGTCTGGCCGTGATCATGTCTGGAAACACCAAACTGGAGCGCTACTTCTTGGCGCCAGCCCATCTGTTTGCTGACAAGTAAGTGCAAAGGTTTTCCATAACGCTTTTGAAGGACTTAAATCGCTTTTGGTAAGGAAGTGTAATGGTGCCGCTTCGAAATTTTGAGTGCGTTTGGGATTTTGACATAAATCGCCACGTGTTCAAAATGAAGATGCAAATCTATTTCAGTGTAGACAAATAAAATCGACAGATATGCATATATTACATAATGAAATTACGTATATGATTGAACATTGAGAGTAAGTTGAGGTTGAATCTTAGTCGTAGCAGCACATGACGCATAATTTTGGACCAAATTGTCAATAACAAACAGATAATGTAGACATGGACATCTAACATACCTGTTCTTTGTTAATCTGGTGGCTGAAAGAAAATTGTAGATGTTAATTCACAGAGGATCACATACCTACAGAAACTACATGGAGTTGTATGTACCAGTGCAGCGAAGAAAATGAAGGTTGCCATCGTTGCCTCGAAACGGCTGCACTTCAAAAACGCCAAGTGAACCAAATGAATAGTTATCAGTAAAGCTGCAATCGCATCGTCCTGAAAATTCGATGGTATTAGAAATTAACGAACGATCTTGCTCTGGAAACAGCTAAACTGACGAAGCTACGATTATTGCTTACAGTATGCGGAGAATAATCCCTTTGATCTCCGGCATCTTTAATCTGCAGCAAGAGGCGCTGACTAGCTTACGATATCCGAGGTGAAGATTAGAAACGAGGACAGTTGCATCATGCCTTGACAATTCAAACACTTGCCGGGTCTTGAATTTAACAATGCACGAAGCACAGGATAGGCATAGCCATCGTCTCCCCAGAATCGAGGTATTGGTGGAAGAGTCGCTAGCGAGTTTTGGTCCAAACACACAGGCTGGATAATGAGTGATTTACGTGAGCTTTTCGATGCGCGGATTTCACTATTTAGGACATTTTAATATGCCTAGTTTTTCAAACTTTATTTCCATCAGTAGAGTTCGCCAAATAATAAGAGAAAGCATTTAAGATTTCTGGCTGATGATCACAGAATCATGCGATTTACCAGTAAAGTATGCTTTTAATATGAAAGTTAGGAAGAACACGATAGCATGGTCAGATACATGGCTGGCAAAGCCATATTCTACGAGTCTTTTACAGACAACTTGAGAGTGACACAGAAGTAGACGGCAAGCATGCAGAAACTAGACATGCAGGCAGCAAGACGAACCTATATTGCAAAAATCAAAAAGAGTAACATAGAACGTTAAAGAGCTTCTGATCTACGTGGCAAATTAATCGGTCGCATTCTACGTATCAGACCTCAGACCATTTACGAAACGACTCAACAGTTCGAACGAACAGATAAATTGATCATTTGATGTTACTTACTCAGCTACCACAAAAATTCTACTTTCCAAACTTACAAAGGTTTACACGACGGTAGAAAATATGCTACATTCCTGTAGATAATGTGATAATGTTTTATCGATGAGTCAACTACTGCAATAACAAAATCAATATCGAAAATTAAATAACTCTAATGACTATTATGGAAAAAATAAACCGTTTTTTTAGACGTGTGCCTTTTCACCGACTTGAAGTCAGGACATTCGACATGCAGGAAAATGCGCCGTTCCATCTTTCAGGTGTGGCATTGCATAAAAGGTATTCGCCCACTGGTGAAGAGTACGACATCGCACTTGGGTTGATAACCAACTCCAGTGGTCTGAGTGTAAGCGAGAACGACGTCTGCATTCCTTCGCTAAAAGACGACATGAAGAAAGAGCTCACAAACACTTTTAGTAGGTCAGCCAATTACTGATCAGTATTATAACCTATGTTCGTTTTAAACAGCTTGGAAAGACGATAAAATGGTGATCTTTCCGAATTTTACCACCGTTCCTTGTTCAAACAACTCGTTATTGACCTTCTGTGCAAATCCGAAACAGACCCATACGGATTTCCAATCAAACCAGGTTAGTTGTTCTTTGATGTGTCCGCAGAGAGGCCGCCCTGTTTACGGTTCGTCCCTGCCAAAGGACAAAAGTGTCTGCCAGATCGCGAAGATTCATTCTGCGTTTATGGCCAGTGAACAGCTCAAATATCAAGTGCACATATTCCTTGCGCATCAGTAAGTTTCGAAGACTGACACCGTTTCTAACTGGTCACACCATTAAAGAGCACACCGCGTTGGAACGCTGATTGGTCAGGAAAGGTGGCGTACCCCAGGTTAATTTCATTAGTTCGATTCAAACTCTTTACCAAATGTAAAACGCCACGACTCTGTTGTCCGCTGGTCGAAAACCTCCGGTAGCCAAATCTTCCCTCACTCGTTTTCAATTCGTATTTACAGATTGAATCCTTCAGATCGAACAGCCATGCAAACGGCTAGGTCTTCAGCTATGTTAATTCTAAAAAAAATATTTTGACCAAAGAGCTGTCTTGATATAGTCGATGCTGGCTGAGGAGTCGGTAGTGCGTTGGACTGAAAGTCGAAGGAAGTGCGTTCAGGGGCTGATCACAATCAAAGCAAATAAATCAATACCAAATTTGGGATGCGAACCTGAAAGCAATAGAAAATAGTCTTTGGCCATCGACAGACGTCGAACTTTCACTAGTCTCTTCTGATCGCTGTCATAAACAGAGATCATCATGAAACTAACATCATCACAAATCGTACCCATCATCGAGGTATCCGACATTGTATCGGCTACATATTTGCCTTTTCTTTTCCACCCTTTGATCAGGTGAAAAAACTGCACCTTCAGAAACGCATTCACATTCGCCTCCACATTGAATCTACTACCATACCAATGCTGTTACGATGGAGGGTATTCATTTGTGGTTGGTTTCAGATCCGTCCTCCTGGACCGTTGGTAGACCGAGGCAAATTCAAGGGCATCGAATATCCGCGATACACCGTTGTTGGCTTACCATCCGTAAACTACGTGAAGAATGTCAATGACTTAATGAAGCGATGTGGTGTTAAATCGTCGACCGTTTTGTGCCCGGCTTCAACATACATCGAAAATGTCTATACCGACGTGTCAAAGTTCTCGTCGTGGATACAAAAAGCAAAGGCGGAGCTTCGGGACCGAAGAAATTTAATTTACGTTTGAATGCATAATTGCATGGTGATTATTTAATATTTATACAATTAAAGGTGTTTCTTGAGTGCCTGCTCGTTTTATAAGAACGAAAATTTGACTCCGGCGTTTTCTTTCTAACTTGATGTTGTTCGAGAATCTGGTCTGCCACCACCTTGCCAGATGGCAGAACGGATGACAAAAATGCTGCATTAAATTCGCTCGAAATCATCATTGATCCTTAGAAGTCACAATCCTTCGCCCCAGCTTTGTACTCGCTTCTCTGTTCATAACCAACCATGTTTAAAATATACAGTCTCTGTCGAACTCTAATCATTATTATGTCTGGGCATTGTAAAATTCCTCAAAGAGATTATCAATAATGTGAGAACCTCCAAATACGCTGTTTTTTTTAATTATTTCGAAAGTTTCTCTAAAATACTTGGCAAAGCTACGACATGTAGCGATGGTCTCTGCGTGAAAGACAACACCAAAACACCGCCGAACTTCAAACGGTGAATGCCGCGGTAGGCGTTACTTCCTCAGCCATTTTCTGCCGGCAGGTAAGTTCTACAAAAAGAAGCTTCTGTCCATCGGTGCACGTAGTTAGACTTGGGATTCATGTCGTCCATTCGCCTCGACATAAGTTACACACAGTTAAGACGAATCTTATCTGCTGTGCGGCTTGTTTGAGGCGAAATGAACTACTCTGTCTTCCAACGGATCACAACACAGTTGTTATTGTATACGGACCTTTTCCTCTTTCTAGCAACATAGCATGGCTTCCATGTTTTGCAATGAGGGTGAAGAAATCATCCAGAATCCAACGCCACAACTTCTCATTTCGATACTTGCTTATTGTCATGGAAACTGAATTGCACGAATTGACTTTGTGACACAGGCTATCTGCGAGTGTAACTGAGCAGTAAACTTAACTGCTCTAACGCCGTTGGCAGAGATGTTGATTTCGAGATGGGAGAGATATGTAGAACCTCCCCCCAATTAAGCCTCTTGGCAGAGACCTGTCGCCTTTGTTGGTTTCTCAGCAATTCATACACCTCGATAGAATGCACATTACTCTGCAGCGCGTGAAAGGCTTTATGGTCACAGTACTATAGACGGTTACATATTTCGAAATATTCGATACTATTTGTTCTTTTACTTGGTAATCGCCTGCCCCTTTTCCTTCTTCTTCTTCTTAGTATTAAGCATATGTTTTGTGTCCTCCTATTGCCAATATTTACTTACATGAATTCTGGCCATCTTTGGTCGCATGCGCAATTTTATATTGTTCATTTCAAAGTCACGCCAGATTCTGTTTTCTCTCATCACTGTTTTCCTTCTCTGAAATAGTATTACTTTCCATCAATTTGCCCACGCAGTCGTCGGTTATTGCTTTTCGTTACCCAACCAACAAAGACTGATTTTATTTCGCTTTGCTGCTAACGGTGAACTGGGCTACGTTCGGATGCCTGAAAAATGAGCAACGCTCACGGCGGAATGATTTTTGCGAGGCATCGCCCTTTAGCCGATGGGACCCGTTCGAACCTCATCTGTGAAAACAGAAACATTTCACAAAACCATCGTTTTTCACTAGCTTGTTTCCTTAATGAATCTGATAAAGACAGATATCCAAGTGAAGGACGTTCCTCATGCCGAACATTACATTCACTGCAGCCAGCGGTCAAGCACGTGCACGATGACGTGTGTCACCGTCCATAATTTATTAATGCAAGACTAAAGGCACAGTATACTTTAATATCAAGCTGGCCGTTGACATGTTCCCGCCATCAAGCCCGCTTCCGGATCGGTTTCAAGCACGAACTCGCGTTAGAACCCCCGACAAGATGTACAGCACGTCCATATCAGCCTGTCCGACGAAATTCATGCAGCCAGTTGCCGACGTTACGGATACGGGTACGACTTTGCGACTTCCTTCTCCTCTGTTATTAAACTCATTAGACGATATTCACTTTGGAGACCGACCATGAGGATGCTTACTTCCCTGAAATTTTTATGAACCAATGACAGCTCTCCGTGCGCCCAAACAGATATGGTGCTTTGCTGGTAAACCATAAGATCGGGTTTTACTTTTCTGTAAAATATGGCTACTGATCGTGGCATATTTGCAGATGTCCAAACAGGCTATTGTTTCACCCTGTCTAGTGATGCGGTTTGGCATCCATGCACTGGCTGCTCAAATACCATGGAGCCGTGCCTGCTTAAATAGTCCCCTAGCATAGACCACTAGAGGCAAGTGGACGGTGATTACACCGCTTCAATCCGGTATCAAAAACTATAAAGGATTATATATCCTATCAGCAATATCTATGACCAATAGTATGCTAGTAAGCCCATAAAATCGAGATTTTATTTTTTGTAACATCATTTTTTGTGATATAATCAACAGGCGTCATCGAAAGCTCTCCCAGAACATCTGGGTTATAATCTGGCAATCGTTCGCCTACGGGTTGTGGCATCGTTCCATGGAGGAACATATTCTTGTTCAACCCATGCTGGAGACGGGGTCCTCCTTCCTGTGCTGTGCGGGCGCTTAAATACCGTAGCGCCATACCACACTTAGATGGTCTCAATAAGCATAAGACAATTAGCCGGTGCTTTAGTTATTGAAGGTAATGTAATACACAGTGCAAATGCATTTTCGGCTATTAGGTAAACTTGTTACAGTAAATAAGATTAATTCATAATCCATTTCTATTTAAATTTAATTCAATTTAAATTTAGCACAGCTTTACTCTGAATCTAAGCAAATGGTCTAACATCATCAGTCATCCT